AAATCCCCTTCATGACAATTTCTGCAAAACATCATCTGCTCGTTGGCACATAGCGGTAGCTATGACTAGTTACACAAAAGAATCTCTTATACTCTACCTAGTGAATGTGTCATTCTAAATGATTATCTCACATCCTTTTCTGAAATTCATCATGAACATCTTTTTAAACATATTTTTCCTTTGGTGTCAAAATCATGTGAGCTTGACCCTGTTCCTGGCAAATTTTTATAACTGATTGCAAACCACTTGTCGCCCGTCATCCACTTGTCGCCCGTCATTTCTAAGATTGTCAATCTTTCTTTGAAGAATATGTGTCAATGCCTTCGATGCTAAGACATTCTGTGATTAAGCCTCTTCTTAAAAAGCAGAATTTAACAACTCAAGAATTTTCTAGTTTTCGACTAGTTTTCGATCTCTAACTTAAAGTTCTTTTCAAAGGCTATTGAAAAAGTTCTTTCGCACCAGCTGATCGAGCATCTTGAGAAAAATAATATCAATGTACCATTGCAATCTGCTTATAAGAAAAACCACAGCGTGGAAACTGCTTTTCTAAAAGTGAAGAATGATATCTTGTGTGACATAGATATGAACAAATCAGTTTTTCTTGTCCTTCTAGACCTTTCTGCTGCCTTTGACACTGTTAACCATGATATTCTTTTAAATCGGCTATATACATCTTTTGAAGTTAGAGATTTAGCTCTTAAATGGTTCAAATCCTATCTTAGTAATAGGCAATTTTATGTCAGTGTCCCAGAAGGCAAATCTTTTTCTTTGTGGTGTTCCTCAGGGATCATGATTCTTGGATCTTATTTTCATTATATATTTCACCAATAGCAGATATAATTCATTGGCACGAGCTTGGCTATCATCTATATGCAGACAATACACAATTATATATTTCTTTCTCTACAACGTCCTTATGTGAAATGATGGCAGCAAAATCAAAGGTTGAAGCCTGTGTCAAAGATATTGATTTATAGGATGGTTAAAAAAACAAGCTAAAACTTAACGGTGATAAAACTGAACTAGTGGTACTTTCAGCTGCACATCGCCCTTTCTCATCAGAAGTGTCACTTAATATTCTTGGCATTAACATTTTATCATCTTCCTCTGCACGAAATATTGGGGTCATCTTTGACAAAATGCTTTCTTTAGAATCCCATATAACAGCAGTATGTAAATCATGCTTTCTCCACATTCTCAATATTTGGAAAATACGCAAATGGCTCAGTGTCAGTGCATGTGAAACACTTGTACATGCATTTATCTCTTCAAAACTAGATTCTGTAATTCTTTGCTTTTAAAACTGCTCTCAAAACCTTCCTTTTTAAACAAACTTATGATCTGTAACTCTATCTTAACTTTCTTAATATCTTAATTTTTACCTTTTTATTTGCGCTTAGAAAAAGTTTTATAAGCGCTTTATAAGCTTAGATTATTATTATTATTATTTGATCTATGGTCTTCCTAAGTCTTCTATTAATAAGTTAAAACGTGTGTAAATTGCGGCAGCAAGATTAATTTCTTTTTCTCGCAAACACGATCATATCACGTCTATTCTTTACAACTTGCATTCACTGCTGCCTGTAGAGCAACGCATTGAGTATTAAAAATTCTTTTAATTACTTTTAAGATTCTTAATGGAACTTCTCCTTCTTATCTTTCTAATCTTATTCAGCCTTATAAACCCTCACGATCTTTAAGATCTTCATCAGCTAACTTGTTGTTTATATATATAAACCATCGGGAATCATTCCCTACTCCTATGCGAACAGTGGTGTGGGTTCTTTAACGTCCCTCTAATACAGGTTAGTGAGTGAAGTGTAGAGAGACGGGACCTCTGATTTTACGTCGTTATTGATGGTTTTCAACCATTCCCAGGAGAGAAAAGATGTCCGCCATTGCTGGTGGACCTGACAAAAGAAAACCACCACCGCGACTGGTGGACCTTTTTGTTATGCTCACTCTCATGGGAATGGTTGAAAACCATCAATCCGAGAGGACGAGAAGATCTTACCATTTGCAGATGGAGAAAGACAAAGGCAGCAACTTCTCCTCAATTATTTTAAGACCCTGAGCGTACATATTTAAATTCTTTTTACAAATAAACATTTAATATATCTTTTTTCATAAATTTTTATAAGAGTATTAAATTGCCTTTTAATGGTCAGTTTCAAAGTCTTTTTTGTATCCGTAGATATTTAATATGCTACAGAGATGGGGTTTTATTGCCCGACTAAACAGTCTGAAATACGTACCTGACAGGCCAAGCTAATTTCAGATCCCAGAAGAAGGAATACAACGATTATATATGATATTCATGGTGTATCGAAAGAGGTTCTTAAGGAGGTTGTTGTATCTTACAAAACAGTTTTAAAAAGACGACATCAGTCAGTATTCCACGACTGTAAATAAAACATATGCATGATCACTTAAAAGATGTTCAAAATAGTCTCAAAAGCATTGATGTTTTCATTGTGCAGGTTCCTAAAAGTTTGCTGGAAGAAAGAGGGAACAGATTGTTGGAAAAATTCCACCAAGTCAACACTATCGCAGAAAAACATTCTTTCCCTCGGTTCCAGTAAATAAGTGTTAAATGTTTACTTGTGTATGCACTGTGCTATCTCATATAATCGCCTGCCTTCCGTTATCAAAAAATAAATATAAAAAAATTGATCAGGCAGATAAGATTCAAACCTGCTAACCCTAAATATGACCTATCCGATCATTAACTTAAACCTACGGTGTAACCAGTTACACCACGAGTGAATTTGCTTGGTTGCACTCCTTTTTTTCTAGTACTTAAACAATTTCTCATTAACATTTCACTAAATAATTAATATATAAGAATGAAGGTTTCCCGTACAGCACGATATCCCCCTGAAATACACCTTTTCAGTTGCACTTACATTGTAGGCATCTATAGCAAGTTGATAATTCTTTTGAATTTGCTAATTAAGACTATTCAATCAATGTTTGCATTGCTCACATTCCTACAAATTCAAAAGAATATTTAACATGTTGTCGAGGCCTAAGATCAACTGAAAAGGTGTATTACATTGAAAACTGAAAATCATAAATTCCTGCTAATTCAAGACCCGCTGACGCCATATTTGCCATAATAAGCTCAGAGAAGACATTTCCACACAATCTGCTCTATTTTTTTCTTTAAATCCGTAATCCGCGTGCCATTTTAGGCCCAGATCCACCGATCCGAAAACCTATTCACCCCTCCCCCACCCACACCATGGCTACACATCATCGATTCAAAGACGTACCAAAACTATCAGTGTAGTATACTTCCACTATAGAGGACACACGTATTTAAAACTGATGCATAAAAACGATATTCTTTTAGTTTCGATAAGTTTCCTGTCCTCCCCATACTGGTCTGTAGACGCCATCATTGTTTTCCTCAACTTCGGGAAACGTTGGTATTGATCTTCGTCGGAAACACGATGACACGATGATGACGTAATTTTCGGGACGTCGTTCTGAGTTAGGCGAAATAGCCCCTACCGTGTCTCTACACCCCCATCCCCACCCCTTCCCTATTGTGACAAAATATATAAGAGACCTCCTCTTACCTTTAATGTAGGATTCCACTCTGGATATCGATGCTCTGCTGTTATTTTATTATAAAAAAAGAGGATTTGTCCTGCTTTACATCGATATTCTAGCCAGTCATCCAGGCTGTCCATGATTTGAGACATTTTCCTAAGTTGAATCATAACAATTCTGAATTATGAAGGCACACTTATATTCAAACACCAGATTAATCTGGTTAGCTGTGTGAGGCATCTGACAAGACAACCACTCCAGCAGTAATACACAAATGTATACACAGAACACAAAGATCCAGACATTCATTGAGGTGTTGCGTGCACGTGTAGAGTAAAATGTCGTTATTTACAACATTTTCATCACTGAATCCACACAATATTTTAAACAAACAATTCAATCAATAATTACCTGAATTCTAGTTCAATTCCACTACAAATTAACGCCACAATAAGAATGATTTGAATGAATCTTTTGACAAGAAGAGGTAAACATTCGTCTATCGAAAGAGTCAACACTAAGTATTGTGGGATAACACAGCCTCGTCTTCATGAATTTCCCGCCAAAAATATACCCAACAGTCACAACAGTCAACACAGAGCGTCAGACGCGCAGTGGCGGATCCAGGGGGGTTCCATGGGTTCCTAGGAACCCCCCTCAAGCATAAAAATAAGTAAATAAATGATAAATGAAATAAAATGAAAACGCATCATACAATGAATTTTTATTCAATACATTCACACTACATTTGCTACAGTTTGAGAGGAACAGTAAAAAAGTTCGTTTTAGGAAAATGCGAAAACAAAGAGGAACCCCCCTTTGAAAAATCATGGATCCGACACTGAGTCTGGCTAAACTCGTACTTTGCGAATCAACAAATACCGCAAAATAGCTTACTTAGTTAAAAAAAAGCACAAAAATTATAATCAAGGCAACAAAGGAATGCAAAAAGGCCAAATTTTGTAAGCTAAAGTATTACTTAGAAATTGATTTTTCCGAAATTAGTGTGCGCTTTCCATTTGTCAGAACTGGCTGGCCAGACCCAGAGAAAATGTCATTATATATCATTCCCGTTTAGTTAGAAATTCAAATTTTCAAATTCTCTCCATTTTTCTACAGAAAACCTCGAAATGACTGAAAAATGTTGACGAAAAGCATTAACTTATATACCTCTAAATAGAGTGGACTGGCCGGCCAGTTCTGCCTAAATAGAAATCACCCTATTTCAAAGGTGTCTTTTCGTCGATCGGAATAACCTCCTCTAATTTTCTAGCAATGCAGCCATATATCATTTTTTGATAACAATTTCTAAAATACAGCCTCTAACAATCTAATAATAAAAGAAATCACGCAATTCAAAGACAAATGAAAGCGCCGCGTCGCCCAGGCCGGTTTCTCATGATTTCTAACGATGCGTTTCATTGGCTTAGTGTAAAAAGCAAGTAGCCAATCAAATGTTTCGTTAACAATTCGTCGATTGGCGGGAAAAATGAAATCAGACGCGCGAGCGCAAAATCCTCAGATGAAAGACCTCTCAGAGACAGAGATGTAGCTATTTAATAACAACGTTTTAAGTCTATGAAGATACGAAATGCCTCGGTATTTGGCACTGGATTATTTTTCGGAGGTAAGCAGCTTAAGTAAGCTAAACAACTAGTAGCTCATAAGTTTTAAGTTAAATGGTGAGACTATAAACTTACACTGAATTGAAAAACCTTGTTTATCTGTTAAGCTTAATAAAACTTAATCATAAACAAGCTTTTTTAAAATCTGCAATGTGAAAAAATAAAAAGGTGTTGCATGGCCTCAGCAGTATCATTTTCCAAAGATTGCTGTCACCTTCGTGCTCCTATATAAACTAGATTTTTGAGGGGGTGGTTGGGAATTTTTTTGTGTGCTCGAATTTTTTTTTTACAACTGTGGGTGTGCAAGAATATTTTTTTACAAATGACTTGCTTGTAGGAATTTTTGTTGTTGTTTCAAACCATTTAATATATTACTTTTCTAAATGTTTTTCTCTGCAGAATTTATAGGTTCATGTTGAACTATTTCATTAGTCTGATTTCAAGTTATTGTTTTTAACACATTATTTAAGTAATAGAAGATTTTTTCTGTGACTCTACCGGTGAAATAGAGCACGAGTGATGTTGGGAGAGACACGAGAAAAGTTTTATTAAAAGTCACGAGCCGTCGATAAAATATGTCGGAAAATGCATGGGCTACAGCCCTCCAAAATAGCCAAAAATGACCGACTTCTGATGAAAATGCATGGGCTATAGCCCATAAAAATGGCAAAAAATGAACGATTTTTAATGAAAATGTAGGGGCTGTACGTCTCCAAAAATGGCCAAAAATGAACGATTTCTGATGAAAATGCATGACGTACATGGATTATAGCCCACCAAAATGCCAAAAAATGACCGATTTTTAATGAAAATGTAGGGGTCTTATACTCCTCCAAAATGACGAAAGATGACCGACTTTTGATGAAAATGCATGTGCCATAGCCCACCAAATGGCCAAAAATCATCATATCATGTCTGTCACTAAAAACATAGCAGAAATAACGAAAAACAGCAGTTAATAAGATATGTTTTGTTAAATGCAAAATATAAATGAAATAAACTTTAAAAAATGTCATTGTAGTTGGTGTAAAGTGTGTTCCACATCTGTGAGTCTGATATTTCACTTGCACAATTTTTTTTTCGTCACTCTTGCTGTGCACGAATTTTTTTTTCTCTATTTAAGTCTTGCTCGAATTTTTTTTTGGCTATTTAAGTCTTCCCCAAATTTTTTTTGGTTATTGCCCAACCACCCCCTCAAATATCTAATGGCCCGTCCCTTATTAGGTCTAAGCTTAAATCATTCCAGGATCGTACGCTGGGGGGTTCGAGGGGTTCGGCAACTCGGGTTCGCACGAAAAGATAAAAGGTCCGGTGTGTCTCTTTTTTTATTGTTCCATTTTAAAATCTGATTCTTTTGTTATGAGCTGTTTCAGCAACCAGTTCTTACACACTGTACTGTGAATTTAACTATTTTAGTTAAACATTTTATAATTTAGGTCCGCATTATGAAAAAACGAAGCCCTCCTATTTGAAAGGCAGCCTACGTCCTGCATTTCTGAATTTAAAAAAAATCTATTGAAGCCTGTAGTTTTGTCACAATTTTAGGCTCTGGAGGTACGTCAGAATACATTGTTTCGCATGCTTTTGGCGGTTCCTCATCATCTTGAGTGCATTGATAATTATGTACACAAGGGAAAGAAAGATGACAGAACATATAATATACCCTGGCAAAGAGGTAAGTTATTGCTTTAGTTATATTTCATTCAGGTTCAATTTCTTCTTTTATTCATCTGTGTATCATAATAATTTCTATATCTTTATTTTAAGGGGTTGGCTAGCCTACCTAACCAAACCCCCCTCCCCCCTCCCTTGAGATCCGCCATCGTCTTTGCACAACTTTAAAGTTTATATGTTTGATTGTCTACATTTGTCTATAGAATTCCCAGAGAAGCTTGTACATAGGACGCCACAAGATGATTTATGTCAAATAACATCGCAGCTTGCTAAACTAGAACGGTTTACTTTGTCACCGTTACATGATGAATTCATCCCCAGCTCTAATCCTGACTCTCCTCCAATCAACTTTGATGTATGGAGTGATTTGGAAGTCGAGGTTGTTAACTATCTAGTGGAGTCTTTACAACCTAATGATGTAGAGGAATTCAATGAAGAGACTTTTTCCAGTCAAGGTAGTCTTGATTTAGATA